AGGCATATCCCACTAGCCTGAAGAAGCCTAGAGGTCAAACACAGCCTCCAGAGGCAGCTGGGGCGAAATGCATGTTCTTCAAGGCCTGCATCAGTCATGGGCTGTGACAAGCAGCACATGTGCCCATCGGAGGTGATATCCAATCCAGGAAGGCTGGCACCTCACGCATCTGGACAGCTCACTGCTAGGAGAGCCATGGAGGAGGCAGGGTCCAGGGTCAGAGCCAAAGAAAGCAATAGGAGGAGTCATTCCAAAAGGCAGAATTCAAGAGCCAAAGACCAAAGGCATGGTCACAGCTTCCAAGAATGGGCTCTAAATGGAGTAGTACTGACCTGGGAATCAAGCCAACTAAGCCAGTTGTTGAGTGCTTGTCTTGGATGGACGAATGTGTTCAAATAATCTGCACAGTCTAGGGAAGTAGTGGTGAACCTGTGGCATACATATTATTGTGTTTTTCTTTTAAGACAAAAGATGTTAATGTAGAGTTGTTTTTTCTAAGTTAAAACCTCAGTATTCAAGTTTAATTGCATTGTTAACACTTTGTGATTAAAAAAATGTGATTTGGGGCTGTAGCTTGACACTTGATCTCTAAAAGTTTTGCCATCACTAGTTAGGGCAAGGTTTCCCTGCTGTGGCATTGTTGGCAGGGGCTGCATCCTCCTTTATTATGGGGCTGACTTGTGCATTGTAGGATGTTTAGCAGCATCCTTGGCTTCTACCCATGAGGTACCAGTAGCAAGCTGCTTCTGAGCCCAGTAGTGACAAGCATAAAGGTCTCTAGTCATGGTCAAGTGTCCCCAGTGGAGGACACCCTACCCTGTTAACAACAGTCTATCTAGAATGGCCAGTCATTCCAGTGTGCTGAGATTTAATGAAGTTCTTGGGATGTGAAATTTAGGAGCATTCTACATTTGCCCTAATTCCACCTCTTGTTTGAGCCTGCTGTCTCTCAGAGATTCTCACACTCAACTAGGCATCACCTGGGATCTGACTGAAATGCAGTGAGATGAGAGAACCTGCATCTCTAACCAGCTCCCATGATGGTGTTGCTCATCTGCAGATCCAACCCAGGTGTGAGTCCCACCTAGGGATGGCAAGCATGGCCAAGTGCATCCTCAACCCAACAGTTATCATTCCATCCTCCTATGAGACTGTGGCTCAGAATGATAGGCAAAACTAAACTGCCCCCTGCACTTAAACTATCAGCCATGGGAACTGTTTCCTTCAACAGCTTCTGCAGGAAGGAAGAATCTGGCAAATGCCAGACACTAGACAGAGGGATGGTGGAGATGTTCAGTCTTGAGGATGCTGATGGAATCTGTGCCCTGTGGGTGGGGATGGAGGCCTGAGTCATCCGTCTACCTGCTGGGCTGCTAGCTGATGGTACAGCACAGATGCCTGGCTTTGAAGAGGGAGGGCAGGTGCCACACCTGGGCTCAGCCTATGGAAGAGCTGTGCTTCACTCTCTAGAGTCCCAAGATGGGGAAATGGGACTGATACAGGAAGTGGGCCAGTGCCACAAGACAGAATTCACCATCCTCAGCCTCAACAGGGATTGGCAGGGGGCCAGAGCCACTCCATATCCTCCAGATGCCATCCTTCATGTCTGGTCCCCAGCACTCAACAGCTAACAGCAATGACCTGAGGAAGGGAGCATTTGGTACAGAGTCCTTCCAAATGACAAATAGGATGGGGGCTAGTTGAACGGACATTGCTTTCAACAGCTTGTTTCTCTTAAATAGAAAAATTGGATTGGTGCAGAAAAAGCTGGAGAGAAAATCTAGACTTATGGGCTCACATGGGAAGGGTGGAGAAATGAGGGGAAAAGTAAAACAGATCCTGCTTCAAGTCTTGATGCCAGCCTGTTTGTGTTTGCTCCTGCCAGTCAAGCAAAAGGAGGTGCTGGTCAGAGCAGGTGAGTACATGGGGCAGCTGTTGGAGCAGGCCTTCCTGCACTTCTTCGTCACAGCTCGCATCAATGAGTCCAAGGATGTCCTGGCTAAGCAGAAGTCCACCGTCCTGATCATCCCCAAGGTCATCATCAAGGTCAGTTTTAGCATCTAATCTCAGACAAGAGGGAAAGGTAAGGTTGTTGATTGGGAACCCAGGCTTAATGTGTGTGTGTGTGTGCGCGCGCGCGCGCGCGCGAGCGTGTGTGTGTGTCCTGCTCCAGAAACATAATGGAGCTAAGATCTTCCTGTTCTTTGAAAGAAGTAAACCACCCTATATATAGTCACGCACATATAACACTCCTCTTCTCTCCAGATTTAAATATATAGATGTGACTGCAGATATAAATAAGACCTGTGGATATAAACACACTTGTGGAGGAAGACAAAGATGTGTAATGGATACAGAGACTTAGAACTTTCACTGTCTCCAGAAGAAAGTGGGTCAGGCAGCCATGTGACACGGGAACTGCCGCAGCATCGCCCCCTGCCCTTTGGGCACTGACACTATTCACGGGGGCAGTCTTGCGTGTAGCAGACTGCACAAATTGAAGGATACAGCTTAATGACAATGTCTTGCAGCCACCAGCTAGATGAAGAAATAGAGCCTTTCCAACACCCTGGAAAGTTTCATCATACTTCTTCCTGTCCAAAACTACCCCCTCCATCACCGTAATAGCCACTTTTCTGACTTCTGTCACCATAGAGTTTGTTTTTCTCACTTGTCTTTCCAGTACCACCAGAAGTTTCTGCTCAGATAGCTCAAAGGACTTAGTAGGGGAGGGCTGATGTGAAAATGGAAGGAAATTCGGAAGCCTGTTTCTCTGACTTCTCAGGGCACATCACAGCTTCTGGTGCACCTGTAGCCAGCCACAACCCTGAGTAACAGGGTTGTCCCAGGCAGCCAGTAGGGACACTGGGAAGTGGCATCTTAGGCCACTTTACCCAGCGTCTAGGGGCCTTCCTAGTGTCTGGAGAACATTTTTGAAGTGATTAAGAGTAATAAGCATAGATTGTGCTGAGCTGCATTCCACTAAAGTGATAAATAAATCAGTTTTATAAAATATATTACATTTTGAGTGGCCCTAGTCACAGGGAACAATGGGCAGTGGTGAGGGATGAGCCTTGTTTCTTATGACTCATTTGGTGTGAATCCTTTGTAAAGCTAATTTCTGCTGTGTAATACCCAAGATGGCAGCCTTCCTGGGTACTTACTGGGTTCTAGGCTCTGCAGTGCAAGCATTTTACATGCACTATTGCATTTTAAATACCCAATAGCCCTACAAGATAGGAAGTACTAACACCTCCACTTTACCCATAAGATAACTAAAGACCAGAGGGGTTGAATCACTCTTCCAGGGTCACATAGCCAGTGAGCAGTAGAGCTGGGCCTCCAATCCTGGCAGTCTGGGAATCAACTCACTCCATTGCTTCTGCACCTGAGCCACCCCAAGACGAAGCTCGTCCAAATTTAAGGACAGAAAATGTCCTTTGAGGAATATGTCCAGACAGGTCTGTGTCGTCACAGGTACGTGGTTCCTTCACTCTGGTCACCACACATAGACCCATTGTGGTACTATCTGGACAGCCTTTAAGAGCCAGGATGCACAGGTTGCAGGCAGAATCAGGAAGAAATAAAACAAGAGGTTTTGGGGGTTGCCCCAGATTGTCACTGTGCTGTGCGAACGTCAATTCAACACTATGAGGCCCAGGGGTCCTAACAGGGCAGGCGGCCCCCATGCTTGAATGGCAGGACGGCCCTCACGCTGACTCTGCCCTGCAGCCCTCTTCCAGCTACAAAGGGGAAGCACGTTTGCTGCTCATGTGGGGAAGTTGCATGGGCCCTGAGTACGCGCTCACAGCCCTGTGCCTGTGCCTGCAGAAGCCCGACCGGAATGCTCATCTCATTACGGAGCCCTGGCTTGCCCCTGTAGAGGTCTCTGGAGAAGCCTTCCAAGCTGTGAAGTGCCCCAGCCACAGCAAGCACTAGAATTTAATTGCACCACGGATAATAAACTGGGGATATGAAGGAAACTGATAGCTTTGATCTTTTGGGCATTATTAATTTGAAAGATTATTTGTACTCTGTCTCCTGGCTTTACTTAAAGAACTGTTAAATTCTCCAGGGGCAGAGTCAGAAATGCATTATCCCATAAGTTAGTGGGCCTGGGCAGGGAGGATGTACTCTAAAAAGAGTTGGCTTGGTCTGGTTTGGTCTGGTTTGGTCTGGTTTAGTTTGGCTTGATTTGGCTTAGTCTGGTCTGATCTGGTCTCGTCTGCTTTGCTTTGTTTTGCTTTGGCTTGGTCTGCTTTGGTTTGGTTTGGTTTGGTCTGGCTTGGTTTGGCTTGGTCTGGTCTGGTCTGGTCTGGCCTGCTTTGCTTTGCTTTGGCTCAGTCTGGTTTGGTTTGGTTTGGTTTGGTTCCCTTGAAGGAATCAGGGATCCTGATTGTGGAGGAAGCTTATTGAGAGGCAGGGCCATTTCACAAAGCCTGAAGCCTGGGAGAGAAGGGAATTTTGGATTTTGTCCACTGCTGGATTTATTCAGGGAAGGGGGACAAGACATCGTGATATAAATCTTCAGGACCCTGTGGCTGAGAGACCGGGGCCTGGGATGCTGTATAACCTCCTGGGGGGTGAAGTGCAGAGCTGTGGTCCGCAGACAGAGGCCCTAATCCTGAAGGGACTGAGGGAGGCAGAGAGGACCCGAGAGAAGCAAGGGATGGGAAAAGAAGGGGAGTTGAGGAGGTGAAGGAGAGAACTGTCAGGAAAACATCAAGTTGAAGTGTTACACAGGAGACCTTGGGGAAAATAAATAAATGGTATAAAACAGGAGCTGGAGAGGGGTTAATGCACTGAAAATCCAAAACCCACAATGGCTCAGAGGTCCACAGTTATCTAGAGCACATGTCCACCAGCTCCAGGAAAATGCGAGAATCCTTTCTCAGTCTCTGAGCTGGGATGGGTTCGCAGCTGACTGAGCCTCTCAAGGTTGCTTTGGATGAATGAGCCAGATGCAGGGTGAAACCACATGAGGGAAAACAAGTTAAGAAGATGTGGCTTTCTGTCCTCAGCTTAGAGGCAGGCGGAGGGTAGAGGCCAGCATGCAGCAATGACAATCACAGCAACTATGATTCATTAAGCAGTCTTATTGAGCATCTCTCTTCTATGAATTAAAATTCATTACCATCATATGAGCTGACCTTTGTCTTCAAGAGGCCTAGAAAGTGTAGTGCTATGTTGCACAGTGGTCAAAGCATGGGCTCTGGACCCCAACTGTCTAAATACAAAGCCTGCTTTCTCAACATAATACCTGTGGAACCCTGGCCAAATCACTGCCCCCCCCCTTAGATCCTGTTCCCCATCTGTATGACACAGGGGATGGAAATACTCACTTTATAGAGTTCTTGTGGCATTAAGTGAGCCCACGGATGTCTAATGCCTGAGTCACAGTAACACCAGTGTATGTTGGCTGATGTTATTACTACAATTACTTCTGTTCGTAAGGGACTGGCCCATAATTACGCACCTCATAAGGGAAGGGGGAAGCTTCCAAAGCAGCTCATTCTGACTCAGAAGAATGCTCAGGTGACCATGAGGCTGCACTGCTGTCATGCTGCAGGCCTCACAGAAAGCAGAGGTGGTGACTTGTAACAAAAGGGCTTGAGTGTTGCAAGGGTGGAGAGGTCATATGAGCTCAAGTGGAATGGAGCATCAAGAATTAAGGATATCAAAGGAGACATGATCCTCAATGAGTAGAAAACATTCAGCCAGTAGATATAGGTGGAGAGACCATGACAGATGCTAGAGAAAATCAAGCAAGGGCCAGCGAAGTAGACAGCAGGTGTAGGGAGTAGCAGGAAGTCCACCTTGGCAGGAGTAGAGGTTGGTAGCTGGGCATGAGTGAGGGATAACCTCAGCAAGGTGGCTTAGGGCCACTTTGAAGTGGGTCTAAACTTCATGGATGAGAGCTTTGTAATTGACTCTGTGGACAAAGAGGCTTCTGTGGCAATTATGGAGAGTTACCATGAAATTATCATCAATTCTGCCCTCCCAAGAGTTCTCCCTTCTTTCTCTTCAAAGTCTTTGCCCAAAGTATTGTCCTCTGGAGTCACCAGCTCAGTCTTGGAACTGGAGATCCCTGGAGGCTAGAATCCAGCCCTTCTTTTCTAACTCCCTTTTTTTCCCCAAGCAAATATAGGCTGAACTAGAACAGTATTGGCCCACCTATCTGAATCCATGTCATGTCAACCAAAGCCCCCAGGCCTGTGGCTACCTGTTCTTACCTCCTGATGGACTCCATTTGGCTTCCATTCATCCCTATGGCAATGAAGATTGTGTTTGGGTTAAATTTGTTCCCAATTAACTATTCCCAGCACCTACCAGGAATGAGTCATGGTGTGTGATCCTCATATGGAAAATGGCAGGGATAGACATTCATTAAAATTTAATGAGCACACATCTCTTTTCCTGTGCTATCAAAATATTTTGATGAGAAAAGTATATTTTATTAAAAGCAGACATGGAATTTTCTCTGCCTTCCCATGTGTTGATCGCTTTAAGTCAGGAGAAGCCTCATCACCGCTTTAATTTCCATGAACAATTGTTCTTTTGGAGAGGATGGGGGCCACAGAGGAATCCAGCTGGTCTCTATACTGTAGACTGGTTTGCCTGGGCTCTGTGGCCCATGATGTAGGAACAGCAATCTGATAGGTTTCTCCCAGTCCCGGCTAGTTGTGAAGGTTTTGTGGCTTCAATGTCCTCATGAAAATCAACTACAGCAGGAGACCCAGGATGCTCACCAGCAGGCCCTGTTACCAGAAGCAGAAAGCCCAGGCAATGAGGGACAAGCAAGCGTCAGGCCTATTTCTGGTCCTAGCTGCACAGCTTTGGGCTCACAACTTAACCACTTAATATGTGAAATGGGGCCAGTAAAATAGGTTACACAGGAAGTGTCACTGTCCACCCCACACCCCCAAAGAGGGCACAAGGAATGTTTTCTGGGCAGGCTCCCCTCCAGGCCACCACTGACAACTGAGAAGACTGTGCCCATCTGGGCAGGGAGGAAGATAGGGGACCACATCAACCATCACCGCTCCTCAAGCCCTGTAGCCTGGTGGGGTCCGCCATTGCAGTATAAGAGGGGCTCCCTTTTCTACCTGGCCCAAGTATACCATGGCTCAGCCCAACATCTAGATCTCTCCTGACTGTAGACATAGGACAGTTTGCCACAGCTCCAATTGGAGCCTTCCATTAGATGCCCATGATTTTTATTAAGGTTAAGCATGGAATCCTCTTAGTTTCCCTACTATGCATGTCCCCAGAGCAAGGCGGCAGTGGGGGGTGTTGCTGAGTTAGGTCCTGATACCCTGCTCCTCCAGCATCCCAATTCATACACTTTCATCTAGGGGGAAAATTAAAATCAGAGAACCATTTGGGATGCAGTCAGTGTCCTATAGGACTGGACAGCAACTAGGTAAATTGTGACATGTAAGGAAAATTTTGTTTTGCTCTGTAGGAACCTAAATATCCCAAGCTTTTCATCAAAGTAGAATATTAAAACAAAGACTGTGTTCTAATCATCACTAAGCCCTGACTATTTTCTTTTTGTCTTAGTTAGCTTCCCATTGCTGTGACAAATACCTAAGATAATCAAATTAAAGGAGGAAAGATTTATTTTAGCTCATGATTTCAGAGATTTCAGTCCATGTTTGCATGCTTGGCCCTATTGCTTTGGCCCCATGGCAGTGCAGTGCCTCATGGCAGGAGCACATGGCAGAAGAAGCTGCTCACCTCATGGTAGCAGGGAAGCAAAGACAGAAGACAGGAAGCTGGGTGCCACTGTCCCCTTCAAGGCCACACCCCCAGTGAACTCACTTCCTCCTACCAGGTCCCACCCCTAAATACTCCACCACCTCCCAGTAGCACCACAGGCTGTACACCAAGCCTTTAGTTGGAGGCATTTAAGGAATATTTAAGACTTAAATCACAACACTGTCCATGTGTGCAGACAAGCACACTCTCTCTCAGCTTCCCTGTGCTCTCAGCAACTTTGCCTCAATAACTAGGGCTCAACCCTGCCCTGGCCTGCAGCAGGAGCCAGGAGCAGGGGACCTGCGAAGGAGGTCAGCTTCTCCACTCCTCTGTGGCTCTCTTCTCCATGCCTGGAAAATGAAATGCTCATCACTCCCATAGGGGTACTCAGGGGTGAGGAGATTCTCATGGTCATCCAAGCAATATTTTCTCCCTTTAAACCTCAGATTCAAGAAGTGCTAGTAAGTTCAGGTACTCTGCCACCTAAATATTACATTAAATCATCCCAAAACCTCACAAGAAACTGAGGCCCAAAGAGATCAAGCCACTTGCCCCTGTTCAGAACCTGAGTCCAGCTTGATTTCTCCTTGGCCACACCTGGAAGAACATTGCTTTGTGCGCGCACGTGTCCCGACATCTGTATTCCCAATGTTGTCCCAGGCCATCTGCAGAGGAAATAAGAGGTCTGATTGTGAGGTCCTGCCACAAGGGACACTGAGCAGGCAAATCCCGATTACCCTGGGAACCCAGGCGAGACACCAGCAGTCACAGGTTTAAGTGCTCAGGGAGCTGACTCTGCCCATCTGTGGGCTGTTCTGGCCACAGTGTGCTTGGTCAGCCAGGAGGGCACAGTCAGCCCATCTGTGCGTAGCACCTCTGCCACTCTGATATGTGCATTTCTGTTCATCCCCTCAGCACAGCTCTGTGACCTCATGCCTTTGAGAAGGAAAATGAGACCTCATTGGTAATTGGGGTATCTAAGGCATAATTTGCTCTATGAATTTCTAGTTTACTGGGTTTTTTAATCTTAAAGATAATACACACAAAGAAAAACACCTAGAACAACCAATCCCATCTACCTGTCATGTAGTTCCACTATGTTTGGGCCACTGAATATCTTTTTAAAATGAAATCTCTATCTTTACCCTAAATAGAAAATCCTATTATCATCACATAATACATATCAAGGTCCCAAGGCCACCTTGTCACGTTTCACTGTGGCAGAGGAATCTAATTCTTTCCCCCATAAAGTCAAAAAGAAAGAAGTGGGTGGTGTATGTGTTTTCAAATTTAGTTCAGGGTCAACTTATAATCATTGCCCTCCATGGATGGTTTAGCGATAACATGAAAAGGTAACACTGCAAATGATTCTCCAGTGGGTTTCAGAAAATATAGAAGCTATTCCCGCAAAAAAAGGAAGTTACTATTTTTATCTCTCATCTGTCAGAGATCACAGTACAGGTAAAGTTTAAAGATAAATGTTTTAGAGTCAGAAAGACCTAGATTTATATGCAGGTTGGTTCTGCCAGCTTCCTGGCTCTGAAAGCATTTTATTTATCTTCTAAGTTTCACTTTCATACCAACAGAACGGGGCGGGGGCGGGGGTTGTGGTAATAATGTGTGCCTTAAGCCCCCAGAGCGTCTGAATTAAATAAGATAATATAAGTAAAATGATGAACAGAAGGTCTGCATTGCTAAGTAAACACTCACTAAAGCCAAGTTATTATTATTATTAAGCAGAGTCAGTATAGGGTGTGTTTATACAGTGACCTGGTACTGAATTGTGTTAAGTCCCATTCACCCTTTTACTAACTGTGAGTCTTAGTCACTTTCCTTGTTACTGGGCCAAATAGCCAACACCCACAACTTAAAGAGGAGAGGTCTATTTTGGCTCATGTTTCAGTCCGTGCTCATCTGGCTCCAAGGCAGAGACACTGTAACAGAGTAAAGCCGTTCACTGCATGGTGGCCAGGAAGCAGAGAGAAAAGGGAGGGCTGTAGGACAGATGTGGAAACCCTGCCAGGTCACAACCCCAGGGAGCCACCTCTTCTACTTGATCCCACCTCCTCACAGCACATCAGCTGTGAATGCATCAGTGGGTGAACCCACTGATGCCCACAGCAGCCCTATGATCCAATCACCTTCCAGTAGCAGCACTTCTGAGCACAGGAGTCTCTGGGGGGAGACATTCTAGATCTAAACCATAGTGCTGCGTGAACTCAAGCCAGTTGCTTAGCTTCTCTGGACCTCAGCTTCCTCATCTGCAAAATGAAGACCCATAGTATCTACTTCTTAGGGTTGTGAGGATTAAACGAGTTAAGAGATATTTCTACAATGCTGGCAGTATTCTAAATCTCCACTATCCAATACTCTATCCATCAGCCCCATGAGTCTCTTGAGCCCTTGAGATATGACTAGTGACACTGAAGAACTGAACTTCAAAGTTTTATTCAATTTTAATTCTAAATTTAAATAACCGGATGTGATAGTGGCTGCCACGTTGGCCAGCAGAGGCTTGAAAGCGTCCTGACTGTAGAAAACTTCACATCCTTTAGGAAAGGCTGGCCCAGGTGTTAGCTAGAAGCAGCGCAGGTGCAGGAGTTGGTGAGCACGGTTAACAGATGAGTAATTGTTTATTAGCAGCAGTGACCACAGGATGAGTAGGAGGGAAAAAATTCAATTTCTAGTCATGTGTGGAAGACATGATTGAGAGTTCTTGAAATAAGGACCAGTAGGTGAATCTAATAAATTGTGTGACTCCAATCGCCAACTGAATTCATTCTTAGTCTTTCTCAAACTTTTTTCTTCACTCCAGTTTTGGCTTTAAATACAGTTATGTATTTCACAAAGCATATTCTCAATGGAAGATAGCTTGTAATTTCCTAAAAAGTAATTCCTTCTCCAAAAAGTGTATGTATATCTGTTGTGTATGTGTGTGCATATGTGTGCACGTTAGTGACTTTCTTGTTAAGCCAAGAATCAGAGTCTCTGTTCATTATCCTGAAATAGCATAAAGGACAAGAATTCTATACGTCAGTATTGGTGAATGACCTTGAACTTGGAAAAGTATCATATGCCTGGTTGATTTTTAAAGCCATATATTTAAACGGTATATTTAAAAATTCAGAGCCATCAAATGTACAGAAAAAGCAGTCAGTATCACCAAGTATGACACATGCTTTGTTCTTTTCTCCAGTCCACATAACAGACCTGCTTCTGTAAAGTCGATACACATGAAGGTTTCTTCTTGACCTTACCTTCTCTGGATTGCCTAAAATCTTTCTTTATTTAAGGTTTTATGAGAGAAAGAAAATCAGATATACAGCTAAACTAATAGGCAAGCGTTTTTCACAGCACTAAAAAGGGGGAGCTCTGTAGATTCCTGGGAGAATTCAAGGAAAACAGGCCTTGTCTCTCACCATAGCCATTGTTCTCATAGCATGGCATGTCACCTACATCAACATATGAAATGAAAACTGTGTGTGAAGGCTCCATTTTCCTCAAAGGCAGTGGGAGAAATACCTCCACTTAAATTTCCCAAGCAAAGCCAGGAGTGATGGCACACACCTGTAATTCCAGCACTCTGAGAGGCTTAGACAGGAAGTTGCAAGTTCAAGCCCAACCTGCATAACTTAGCAAGACCCTGTTTTAAGATAAAAAGTGAAGGATTGGGGATGTGGCTCAGTGTGAAGGCCACAGATTTAATCCCCAGTGCTAAAAGAAATCCCCAGCAGAAATGGTGATATTGGGCAGGCTTTTATGTTTGAGTTGGTTTGAGTTTCTAGGATTCACTATCACAGGTGCAGGAGACAAATGTCAGAAAAGGGACACCAAGTATTTGTTAGCTGCTGAAGAAACACCACACAACCAGGGAAGGGACCCTCTTCTCCTCCCTGCATCTCTCCCCACCTCCACCTGGCTCCACGGGAAGTCCGAGCAGCACTGACACACCTAAGCCCTCAGCCAAGTACACCTGAAAACAAGCCGAATAGGGATAACCCATGAAATTGTACAAGAAGGTGTAGTCTGATCATAGTCACACCTGGCGCCTACCATGAAGGCCCAAACGCAAGGGCCTTTCAAATGCAGTTTGGGCCTCCCTAACCCAAAACTCCAAAAGCCAAACTTTCTGAGTTGCTGAAAAAGTCTTGGATGTTCAAATAGTTCACGTGAGGAATATTTAACTCATAAAATCTTTGGAAATATCCTAAAATCTGAAAAACTCTAAAATCTAAACTTCTGGTCGCAAGCATTTCAGGTATGGGATACTCCGCCCACACTAAATGTCCCCTGTCACATTCATCAGTGACCTTAAAGGGTAGACTTTGCTTTCTGTAGCATAGAAATCTGCCTGTAGAGCAGGTCTACTGGCATGGGAAGGGTCCTCGTCAGGAGTTCCTGGGCCCCAGGACACCTTGGATAACCTTCATGGATCTGCAGTAAATTCCCTAAAGTCCATGCCCATAGCATACCCATCTTTTGTGTGCTGCTGTGTATGTCTGTGTGGAGAAAGGCTTAGCAGAGGTTATCAATTTATTTTTAAGGGGTCTGTGTGCACACTTGTATAGCATGCCATGGAGAAGGCAGACAGCTCTGAAATAGTACCTTCTCTGGAAAGTATCAAAGTCATCATACAAAGCATTTTTGCCAGCAGCGTCTCTGAAGCAACCTCATTTTCTCTAAACTAGACAGCTTTTGCAAATGTTACTTTTATTTTGTACATTTTTTTGAAATTCAAAACGTTTTTGAAAAACTTTTAATGTGGAAAACTGTACTGGACACACTAGAAAATTAAAACAAAGGCACTGTGTAACTTACAGTATTCCGATGCACTTCTACACCTCCAACATTTAAATTAATCTAGTCCAGATCTCCAGGTTGAAAGTGACAAATTCACACTGTCATCCTTGTTTTTTATCTCCAGCACTGTTTTTTGGGTTGTTTTTTTTTTTTTTTGGTACTGGGGATCGAACTCAGGACCTTGCGCTTGCGAGGCAGGCTCCGGAACCACTGAGCTAAATTCCCAGCTCCAGCACTGTTTTTTAACTAGGGGGCAATTTTGCTGCCCAAGAGATATTTGTCAGTTGTTGGAGATACTTACGGTTGTCCTGTTTGGTATGGGGGGGGGCGGGTGCTATTAGCCAAGGATGCTTCTAAACATTCTACACTGCACACGACACGCTCTCACAATAAAGATGTGTCCAGCCCTACATGTCAATCATGTGGAGGTTGAGAAACCCCGGTCTAGACCTTGACTACTGTCTCTATCACCACCTTCAAGTCAGGCTAATCCATCCACAGTCAATGTCCCCAACAGCATAAAAGTAACTTCTGGTTTATGTTCTGCCATGTTCGTTAGTTAACCTGCCTCCTCCCCTGGTGAGCCTTATTATTCTCTATCTTGCCACTGTGGCTCCAAACCCAACACTTCACCCACTTTTTGAAAAGCTCCCTTACTCTCAACTGGCATTCTGGATCTCCCAACAAAAGGTTCGGGTTGTCTTGTTATTGCTGAGTCACTAGCTTTTTCCAGCTCCTCTGGGCTCAGGGTCCTGGCCTCCAAGTCCAGGCTCTCTACTTAGACAGACTTACACTTGAGACCCATTCTAATCAGTAGCTGCCGATTCTCAGGCAAGATATTTATTTCTCTGAACCATAGTTTTCTTTTCCATGAAAAGGAGTGCCAGCCTCCATAATCCTGCCCCAAAACTCCTTCTCCTCCTTAAGGGAATAGCTATCATTGTATTATTATCTTGGTCCTAAGTCCCTAGTAACTGGTGCACATCCTGCCCTCATGTTGTAAGGCTTACATGAGAACATATGTCACCATACATTCTCAACTGGTCCTTAGTAATCAACAGGGTGCTTAAAGGAGGTCACAGGGCAAACGATGACAGGGGAAGTCACATGTACCCAAGTGATGCATTCAGTAATAGTATGTGCTGAAATGAGAAAAAGTTTAAAACACTTGAAAATTGGATTTATTATAGTTATAAAATAAAATACACAATCTTTTATTTTCAGTTACAATCTAGAAATTATCAAAGAAACATCACAAATGTTTACCAGAGTTCAAGGTATCTCTCACAGACGATATACCACCTAATAGCGCATACCCTTACGAACCACATGTTGTAACCAAGCTTAAACTTCATGGCTGGACATTAGTCATGTACAAATGTTAAGTTTCTCACCACCTTGAACCTATGCACCTATTATACGTAAAATATTTAAGAAAAGATGTTGTATCTTTCAAATTAGCCACGATCTCCTATTAAAATAAACAAATTACAGGCTCCATCCCCCCAGATTCTAATTTAATGGTCTGAGGTGGTTGGAGACTTCTGTATTTGAAAGTTTCCACTGCTTGCAGCCCTCCCTGACTGCCCTGTCTAACACGTAATCCATGCTCTCCAGATGTGTCTGCTGTTGCCACCAATATAATCACTGTCTGCCCCATGGATATTGCCTCTGACCCCAGCTCCCCACCCACTGCCCCCAGGGGAAGGGGACATGAATGGAATAAACATGAGGAAATGGTGGAAATTTTCACTTTCCCCATTGACACAAATTAATCACAAACTATGACTTGAAGAGTAAAGCCATAAGATTTCATTCTTGACTGTAGAGTTTGTAAGAAAAAGTGCTCTTCTCTGGTAAATGCCCTTCCTCTTTATCTCCATTCATAAGAAAATCTCATTGTCATGTGGATCCTTCTCTACTCCACACTGGCTAAAGAAATAAGGTTTAATAATGGCTGTGTTGTTACATAGAACACTCAAGCAACCAGTAAATCCCATTTTAAACAGTTCATCTAACTTAAATATTTATTGGGCACTGGGTTGCTATTGGAGTTAAAAGTGGACTGAAATATAAGGTAAATAAACCAAAACTGCCAAGAGCACTGCTACTTTAAAAACGATCATGTGCTATGATGTACTGAGCCTTTGCATTGCACCTGAAGGCTGCTTTATGTGCATTCTTATTTCACCCCTTTCTTAGGAGGGAAGAAATAGTGTCATCATTATTATTATCATGTTCTCAAGTGACATATACAGATCCAGCCATTTGACACAAACAGACCAAGAAACAAACAAGTCCTACAGCTCCCTGGCTGTTTTCCGGCACATTGAATTTGTGCTGGGGAAGCATAAAGCTCCAACTGTGTGGCACAAAGTCTACACACGACAAGCAATAACAATAATAATAATAACAGTAATAGTCATAATAATAATAGCGTTCTACAAGGTTGCTCCATGTGAATAGCAGTCCAGTTTTAGAAAGAAGAAAACTGAGTCTCGGACAGTTTGAATGAGTCGCCCAAGACTCCACTGCCAGTGTCAAAGTTGACATCAACCTCTGATTCTCCTACGTGATGCTCTCCAAATACCTGACACTTGAGAACTATGATGGGTGAACTCACGCACAGTAGCCGTGTATCCTCCTAGACTCCTACCCTCCTGAACCTAGATGTTGTGGCTGCAGATGAAAAGTCTCCTGTCCTCATCTTCCAGCTCAACACTAGGATGCTCTCCTTCCTTCAATATCTTTCCAACATGTCTAGAAGTAAGACAGCAAACCTCCCAGGAGTGTCTTCTGCCTCTTGACCTCGGGAATCCCTCACACTATGGTAGGAAATTTGCATCCTTTCCAGAAGCAGAGTTCACTTGGCTACTTTTACCGAGGAAGTCTGTTGCTACACCAAATCCACCTCCTGCAGACAGAGAGCAGCCAGTGGCTATGGCTATTAACCTGAGCTCTAATTAGGGTGGTTTCATAATGAGGAAAAGACTGTGATTCTAATTAGTAATTTTCCATCTTTTCCTCAGTAGGTATTCCTTAGTCAAAGCAATATGCTCTCCTCTAACACTGGTCACATTGCCAAAACATAAATGCAATATGGAACTTCAGCAAAAATGAAAATGGTTAAGGAGCCAGGGAAGCTGAACAAGGTTTTATTTGGTGCTAATGTGCTGTTATTTGCTCCCTTGTCTGTTTCTTAGGTCCGAGGAGCCGCAATGGTTGGTTCTGACATGGTTGTCACTGTAGAATTTACCAATCCTTTAAAAGAAACTCTACAAAACGTCTGGATATACCTAGATGGTCCTGGTTTATTAAAACCCAAAAGGAAAATGTTCCGGTAAGTGAAATGAAATCCCCAGGAACAGTGTCTCAGAAGCTGCAATTTCTTATGGACCATTTATGTGGGGCATGGGAGAAAAAATAGGGTTGGTTCAACCAGCACTTGAATCTTTAAACCCACCCCTGGGAGACAGATAACCATTAGCATCTCTTTTCTATAGCTGACAAATTTAGAATTTCAGGGGGCAGTTGATGGGGTCTCCATGTTACACAGTTTATAAAGGTAGAACTAAAATTCAAACTCAAGGCTGCTGATTCCTCAGTCCAAGTTTCAATCACTTTCACACAAGACCTCCCCATATATCAACCCTCCAGTGTCCTCAATATCACCATGCTTGTACAGAGTATTAGATATGATGCTGAAAGATGCCCTTTTAATGGGCTCTTTCTCCCCAGTCTACCTCTTGGATTTTGCCAACCAATCACTGTCGGTAACGGTTGCTTTTATTTTTTGCTTTTATTTTTCTATTCTTTTAGTTGAGCCTGAGGGTTCTAGAACTTGCCTCCATCAGAGCCTTGTAATATTAGGAATGTACTCAGCCTCTTCCAAACCTAGCACCATCAGATTATGCCCTCCAGGTCTATTTCTGTGGCTTCTGTTGATAAAAACTATTGTCCAACAGAAGAGACCAAATCCATGGTCAGGTAGCTGTAACTGTGGGAAAACAGATCTTGTTTATATTTTTGTCCTAGCAGTGATCCTAATTCTGTTGTCTGGACTGGCACAAAATAGAGCCCATCTGTCTTCAGCCTGATGCCTTGAAAATGTTTGCAAACAGCTGTCTCATCTTCCTTGAGTCTTCTCTACTTGGGACCAAATTCCTGCCCATGCTTCCTCTTTCTTGCCTCTAATGCGATGTCACTCCCTCTCTCTTCCGCACACTCCAGTTTGTCAGAGCCCTGCTTAAAGTGTGACATCCAGAATGGGTCCCAATCTTTGAGGCTTATTACTTTCATTTCTACCACAAATAAGTCCCTGTGAGCATCAATCAACCCAGCTCATTTCCTGTGGGGTGACCTTCTATGGGACAGAAAAGGAAGTGGAGGGCTTTGGAAACTGCCTTATGGCCAGACATGTCAGGAATTTCTCCAGTGCCCGTCATGGAAATGACCCCCCTCTGTAAGCTGTAGAAAAAGTGTAAGACCTCACCCTCTCTAGGTCAGCTCTATTCCCACAAAGGAATCTGCATTTCTTCCAAACTATAGGACTCACAACTTCTGTGTCCTGTCATTTAGGAGACGCCTTATTGCAGATGAAATATGCAGCAGAGAAAATAATTTGAGTGTTTTTCTTAAAATGCATGCACAAGGCTTTCCTATGCTAATAGGAATGTTGCAGAAAAATAAGAATTGAATTAGAAATCCACCCCAGCTAGAGAAAGAGGTCAGTAACAATAGCCTGGCTTTTGTCAGAAACGACAGCCTCACTCACCCGTTCTCACAGCCTCCCACTCAAATCAGATGCAAGGAATGCTAAGGCGAAGTGAAACACGCTTCTCCCAAACAGCCCCTGCAGGATCCAATTTATCCTTCTGAAACAGTAGTCCCACAAGCTCCCTCTGAGGGTACCAGGGCCTCATGCTGCCTTTGTACATTGGCTGTGCCAAGAATCCCACCTTGATTGAGGCCAGCACACCTGCTGAGGTTTGGATGAGTGTCCCCACAGGTCTGTATGTGGAAGCTTGGCGACAGTGGGAGATGCTGTGTCCTGTGAATGTCCGCTCGAAGGGAATTATGGCACTCTCTCTCTCCCTCTCCCCACCCTCAGTGTAGGACTCACTTAGGATCAATCTCAGGCTGTTTTGCTCATTGTTAATGTCTGACATCGGGTGGTCAAAGCAGAGTGAAACTGGGAGAGAATGGATGAGGCCAGTCCCTACATGGACACAAAGAACACATCCTTCCCACTTGCTGACATAGAGAGCCACTAGTACTTTCTGCCAACACACAGGTTTATAGCAGTTAGGTGCATAGACAGGAAGCTAGGTGCTCTGCCTTCATCATTTTGGGCTGCTACAGTGGAAATACCATAGATGGGGTAGCTTAAACAACAGACCTTTATTACTCACAGTTCTGGAGCTTGGGAAGCCCAAGGTGAAGGACCCAGCCAACTGGTTCCTCATGAGGACTCTCTTCATGGCTTAGAGACTGTCATCTCCTCACCGTGCTCACATGGAGTGAGATGGAGCGCAAGCTTTCTGATGTCTCTTCTTCTTAGGACACTAATCACCTCACAAAGACCCCACCCTCATGACATCATCTAATTTAATGAACTCTCAAAACTCCATCTCTAGACACCATCACATTACAGGGCAGGGATTCAACACAGGATTTTTTTTAATAGCAAAACATTTACATTTTAGACATACGTTATGATACACTCATCGTGGGGAATTTGCACCTGTACATGGTACATCCCGCCTCTTTTCCCATCTCCCCTCCCCTCAAGCCCTCTCCCCTCCCTATGTACAGAAGCTCTGCTTCCATTTTTTTCTTCTATTTTCACTTTGTTTTCTTGCTCCTTCCTTCCTTTCTCCCTCCCTCCTCCTTTGTTCCCCTTCCCATCTGGACTTTTTTCTTCCCATTTCCCACTATCTATTATACATTTTAGTCCTTATTTCCACTTTTGGTTTCACATCAGAGAAACAATGTAGTATTTTGGGAAGACACAAATGTTCAATCGACAATAGTCCTCAATTTCTTGTGGGAACTCAGATCCAGGGTGGAATCTCCCCCAGGCAAGGGAAGCTGTATTTTTCAGATATAATCTGAAATTGGAGGTGAGGTGGGGGGAGCATGACATGGAAAACATTTGTTATCTGGACGGGCTTGGGGCTTTGCAGCAAACACTCCTTTCTCTGTTTCCTCCTGACTCTGGCACACACCTTTACAACCAAGACCTGAGCCAGCCAGAGCCCTCTCTCATATAGTCAGGTAATTGGAAGCACTTCACTGTATTCTGGGTTGCTGAGATCTGATCTGAGAGTGCCAGATCCGTGTAATAACGTGGGCTTCTAGAAAGTGCAATTGCATAGAACCAAAATCCTTTATGAGACTGTAGAACACAGATCTTAAATGGCCAGGGAATTACCAACCCCATCCTTCCACTCATGCCTTTTGCTGGAGTGAAATCTAGAAGGTAAGGGGTCTCAAGCCTAAAGTAGAGGACCTGAAGTCAGGAGCTGGTGAGCAAGAAATTGGAAATAGGAACAAAGAAGGAAATTCTGTGTTTCAATCTCCGCTCAGGATGCCAACCAGCTAGCTCTACCCCGGTGTGGTTTACCTTCCTGCTCCTTCCCCACGGCCTCCCACCTGCCTCAGATGCTCAGAGTTTCTGTTCCCACAGACTCTTGGCTTTTAGCTTTCTGCAGTTGATATTTCCAGAACATCAAATAATTCGTCTTCCAGATTCAATTTTCTTTTTAAAAAAGGATCAGGTTCTGGGAGTTCTTTCAAGAATAAATTTCCCCAACTTTGAGGTTTGGGTTTAAACTTTAAGTTTCTCAAGTAGGGCAGAAACTAAAAGCTAGACACAGAGAGGAAAAGCCATGGGTAGCTGCAGTTTATTATAATAATAATCCCATTTGCCTGCTTGCATTCAAGATGATAAATGGCCAGTGTGTCCTGATGGCTCAGCACATTACTGAAGATCATTCATCACAACATCCATTCCCAGGAAATAGGTTTCTAGTATATATTTATCTGTAGGTAAAACAGAAAGCATGTATATCTTCGTGTCTGCGTATTTTCTCATGTTCACACCATTATGCACCTGGCTTCATAAGCAAGAACTAATGATGAGGTAAAGCCTAAGACTGCGTTTCTATTTGAGGTAGTCACCTGTATTACACTTCTTCTCAGGGCAGATCCCTGAGCAGAAGAACTGTTTCAAGGTGTGTCTGATTGATCACATGGGAAAACAGAGGGAGAGAATGAATGCATCTGGCTGAAAGGAGCACGTTTCTTGAGAAATAAGCATCTTAAACTGATATTCATATCAAATTGATCACTGTAAATTAAGGACAAAGAATTGTCTTTCTACATAAGGGCAGGAGGAAACTTTCTAAATTATTTTGCTGAGAGTTTAGGCAGAGCAAGCAATAACCACAAAGGTGGAAGTGAAAGTGGTAATAATGAGAACAATAACAGGGTTTTCACATTTCTTGGCACTTGCCATGGTCCTAAGTGAAGTACAAATATTAACTCATCCTACCTTCTCATCACCCTGTCCAGTAGTGCCCTCCTTTTATAGCTGAGAAAAACAATGGCAAGGTTAGTGTTTTTCCAACTTTGAGTCACAAAGTGAATTTACATGGTTTGAAAAAATATGCACATATATAAGTTATGTACATGTGCATTTTCATGTAATGTGGTTTTTATTTAACAGGCTAAAATAATTTATAAAACCACATTTATAAAGAACCAAAGCTAAGAAAAGCCACTAACAAATATCAAATTAATTTAGACATTTTAAAATATCAATGTTAATGCCATGGAGAGAGTTCTGCAAGGCCACAGATTCTGTTTCCAATTCACTGGCCACAGATAGGAAAGGAAGGGAAATTCTTATTTAGTGGATAGATTTCTATGATTTGCGGCCTTTCCCTTTTTAATCCCACTGCAGCTAGAAAGAATATTATTTTTTTGACATTAGAAGTAATCTTGGGATTCTAACTTGACATAGGAGAGATCAACTGCAGGCCTGTGACCTTGTATTTCCCCCCACCCTTTACCTCTGTTTAAAGCGATCCTGTGTGGCCCCAGTCCCCCAAGGCAAAAGAGGGCTCGGGGGCTGAAACCCTTGAGCCACTCCTGACTTTGATAGCCCTCCCTTCTTAGCAGCTCCTGCCACCACAACCCCAGTGCAAAGCTGGTGTTGTCCACCAGTTCCTTCCATGGAGTCAAAGAGGAAAAGCCTTACCCAGCCTGAGCCCAGATGTCTTGGAGAAATCTCCATTACCCCGTTCTGACCCGTCCTTCCCACAGCCCCTGCTCCCTTCATAGCTTCATAGTTCACTGACATGAACAGTGAGGTCCTTGTCTGGCTCAGCCATATACCCGCTGTGCAATGGGAAAGAAGCCTCTTGATGTCTCTGAAATGTAATTTTCTCACCTATAACCAGAGGGGTAAGGATACCTTCCTCATGGGTGGGTAAGAAATGCAGTGCAGTACCTTGCCTCCTATCTCTCCTTCCCCCTCGATCCTCACTCTGCACCTTTCCATTCACCTGAACACAGGCTTTTCAGAGGGACATGGTCTCTTGTGTGCCAAGACAGACACTCACGTACAGTCAGCCGTGTGTGTGCAGATCCAGCCATCCTCTAAGTCCACACGTCCCGGGAGACCCAAGCTTGCCACAGACTTCAGCCTACTCACTAAAAGACCTTGGCGTAGAACTCAGCCCACTCACTAATGTCACCAACACTGCTTTATGGTCTCCTTAGCAGATTCATCCATCTATAGCTACCGACTAAAGCAGCCATGAGGTAACACTCCTTCCACTTCATCCTCAATGCAGAAGTCAGAGCCAAAGGATTGACCTTGCCTCAATGTCACCAGAACATAATGGTTAGGTAAAATGTTGTCGCATAATAAATTCATCTGGTAAGGATTGTAGATGAAGAAGCAGCTGAATCACTCTCTCTGGAATCATTGAAACAAAGAAGCTGGCATGACTGACATGACAACAGCTAGTATTTTCTGAAAGTTCAGTCCATACCAGACCTGTCCTGTGCTCTTTGCTTGAATCATTTCATTTCATTTTCACATCGGTGCTGCAGCAAGCATTGAATCCTCCTCATTTTGCAGATGAGAAAATTGAGGCTTAGAGAAGGACTATCAGTTGCCTGAGCTCACACAGCTAATAAGTGGGAGAGTCAGGCTTTGCGCTCAAATCTCCTGACCCAAGTCCAGGGGACTGTAGCTACTGGGCAAAATTTCATTATATGAACACTAGTCATTTTACACTGTTTAGACAGCAATGTCTGATTTTTAAAATGGATACATTCATTCAAATTTGCTTTTTTTCTCTATAGCTCCATCTGACAGGAAGCTATAATCATTAAATAAACCCTATACGTAATCGTATTCATTAGAGAACCATACTATTTACAAAAACATTTCCCGCTTTAAAGTCTTCATTATGTATCATCTTTATCTTCATAACTTCTAAGCATCCAAAAGTGTTTACTGAGGGTTTAGGCCTCCAAACTCACTGGAATTCAAATCCAGCAGGTGCCCGTTTCAGCGACCATAAAGGAACTGTGAAAGTGCCAAGATTACATTTGAACGAGTCATGTTTGGAGCAAGCTCTACATTTTCCAAAGACACATGGAGCAGATTTGACTGTGTCAATATCAAGGGGGAAGCAGCCTGTTCTTTTGCTATGACACAAGCCTTTCTTACCATCATTTGTTTTTTGCATTCTGATATTCAGGTCTTCATGAACTCTATTAACAGGAATCTAGAAATACTCTGCAGCTGGCTCCAATTACAGTTCTTCTATTGTCCTGGCCATTTGGATCTGTGACCTTTGAGATTCTGTTGGCTTGGACTTTGGTCCACTCACCAGTAAAATGTGACAGTTGGACTAAGTCATTTCTAAAGCCCTTTCTGATTCTGACCAGCTATGCTTCAGTAGCCCCACGAAGAGTCAAGTCTTTTTTGCCTTTTCAAGACCTTCATGGTAGTCTTTATTCATCCCCCTTCCACACTCCCTGAAAAACGCTGGCCTAGGGTTCCATGCCAGGCTATCCAGAACAAGACTTGGCCTAAGATCGGAGAGCAGAGACCAGGAATCTTTCAGGCACAACACTTGCAGGAAGCTCTCATTACTAAAACAAAAGGCATCGTCTTGCTTGAAATATGAAACCTGTGAGAAAGTAACCACAATGATCAGAAAAGACATCTTTTGTAGACAATGTTAGAAAAAGGGCAGGAATTTGAAGCTCAGATAAACCTGAGATCAAAGCCCATTTACCAACTCTCGGCCCATTTACCAAATACATGATCTTGGAAAAGTGACTTCACGATAGAAGTCTCCATGTGTCACAGAATATCTACTCAGGACAGTGTCACATGTACAAATCTTGCACAATATCTCCTCACAAGCTTATATGGGAGGATGAGTGAGAGGTACCCCAGAGAAACCTGAATCTCCCCAGCCCTAATTGATCTCAGTCTTCCATGAGAAGGTTTATCCATGAGACTTAGGATAATCTGAGCATGCACTGAGGAAGAGGCGAGTCAAGAACCACGAAAGAGACACCCATGGTAGAGACAAAATAGAGCCTTGGCAGTAAACAAGTAGCAGAAATGTGCATTGATAAAAGGAACCCAGTTTGGCGCTTAAAACAGGACTATGAAGTACAAAGCATGAAGATACTCAAAGTCAGATAGTAGTAGGCAGGGGCATGGTCTAGATGTTGGAGCTAGAAACAAGGTCAGTGGGGG